AAATTACCAAAATTCAATATTAAATAGTAAAGAAGGAAAAAATAAGTTATTTTTATTTTATTTTATTTTATTTTATTTATTTATTTATTTATTTTGGGGAGATTTTCCATTTTTATAAAACACTAATTTACTAATTAATCTAAAAATTTATAATTAAATCCTAAATGCAATGCGTGATATTTTGGTATTTTTTATGATTTAAATAAAACTTAAACGTGCACAAAATGCAAAAAATTAAATGAAATTCTACAAAATTCCTAAAATGGTAAATAATTAACAAAAATCTATTTTCTTGGGATTTTATAGGAGTATTTCAAATAGGGCAAAAATCACGCGCTCATAGCTACTTGCGAGGTTTCTAGTTATTAGAACATCGATAGGTTATTTCAGCTACGGGAAAAGACCATAAGTGGTGATTTGAGCAAGGAATGGTTAAAGGTGTGCTATGGTTGGCCTTATTGGCTCATTTTCAGACTTGGGGAAGGATTCAGGATTTATGCCTTGTATAGATGTGGGTTTCAAGGGAAGTGATTATGTTGGGTGCTTCGTCGAGAGGGTATTCGTGTGTTATTAGATTCATGGAGTTGATTATATTCGGGGCCAAGTCAGAGCGAGCAGCTCTCAGCAACGGTCCTAGTGAATTCAAAGGTTAAAGTGTGATGTCTAATGATTTCGAGCCTATAGGTACGGCTAAGAATCAAGCTTGGTAGCAGCTTATGAGAAGAGGCCTAGAATGATCTATGATGTGCTGGCTTGCAGTGTAGCACTTGGGAGGTATAAAATGGTTCATGGAATTTGAGACAGCATGGTCTCGTGATTCAAGTTCACTCGGGATGAGTGCGGATGGACNGCATATATTGAAGAATAGAAGATTCTTCAAGAATTCTCTTGTGCTGTTTATTCTCATGATATACCAATTAAAGGTTGGGATTGAATCCCTTGATTTCTGAAAGGAATAAAAGGTGATATATATGGGGCCAGTCACCTGCCATGTGGACCGTTTACTATTATATAATTTTAATAGATGCATCTATTTTATGGTCACATGTGCATTTGTTATCAACTTGCAGTTTGGTTTTTACAAAATTGCTTGCTCAAATTATAGAGCACAATTCCAGAATATAAATTATGATGATTTATCTTGATAATACTGGTTTAAATCCAAGTTGGTTTAGCGGAAATTGTATGCCTCCAATTATAGCTAAATCATTGGTTATGAGAATAAAACTCCCAAAAATGAAATTTGGTATGAGTTGTATTATTTAATATACACCAGCACTTGTACGCATCTAGCCAAGTTATGAATATTTCTCCCTATCACAACCGGTTCAGGGTCAGGAACCAAATAATTTCTATATAGAAATATGAATGTGCTATATGATTTAACTATGCCACCACAATGCACAAAGATGGGTTCCCAAAGAAGGTTGGGAAATGTGTTGGTGATCCCAACATTAGGGGGAGAAAATGGATAGCTGAGAAAGTGATACGTGAAATGAATTATTATGAATACATATAGATCCTCGTACAAGAAAATATGAACTTGAAGTTCAAGTGATAATTAATTTATAAACTATTGCCAGACGCATTTGCTGATCCAAAGCTAAATGTCATATTTCAGTTGTTAATGCTCCAAATAGAATAAAGTCCATGAGGGACAGAGTCTATGGCATGCATGAAGCGTAACAGACCAATTGGTTCCAAAGATAAAACTCCTTGAAGAAGGAGAAGGGCAAAATGGTCATAATAAGGAGGCAAGTGTTTTAGAAGAGCACCACGACATAACACTTCGTAAGACCTCATGTGAGAGGCTCAAATACCTGAAAATAATGAGATAAAGAGATCTCAATAAGTTATGTCTTTATTGTGTAATAATTGAACCGATATAAAATGATCGTCGACGATATTGTTAACATAATGTAGCGCTCAATATTATTAATATTGACGAGGATCTTGAGCTCAAATCTGTCATGAAATTTGGACAGATAAATGATTGGCCAAATGCAAAATACGTAATGAAAATTGACTTCACTTGAAAAAATATGAAGTTGGGCGGATAGTCCCAACACCTGAAAGTATAAAGCCAATGGAGGTATAAATGTGTTCTTGTGCAAAAAATTCATGTCGATAGACATAAAGACGACTTGTAACACAAGAAAATTAGTAAATATCCTTACATTGATTATATTGAGACATGTTCTCTTATGGTGGATATAATTATTTCAAGTTTTAATCTGGCAATACATGAAAACTTGTTATGCGTATAATGGAAATCATTGAAGGATTAAAATTGTTCTGAAGCATATTAATCTTTCCAAGAAATCTATTAAATAAAGCTTCAAAAATCCTTATACGGATTGAAACAATCAAGGCGCATGTGGTATAATCACCTGTGTGAGTACTTATTGAAAGAAAGGTACAAGAATGATTCAATTTGTCCTTGTATCTTTATAAAAAGATCTGGATTTGAATTTGTTATAATCTTTGTGTATGTTGATTCAAATATCATTACAACTCCCAGGCAACTTCCTAAAGCAGTAAACTGTTTAAAGAAAGAATTTGAAATGAAAGATCTTGGAAAGACAAAATTTTGTCTTGGTCTACAAATTGAGTATATGAAAGATGAAATTTTTATCAATCAATCAGCATACACTAAAAAGATTTTAAAGCGATTTTATATGGATAAAGCACATCCATTTAGTACCCCGATGGTTGTGAAATCACTCGATATAAATAAAGATCCATTCCGACCTCATGAAAATAATGAAGAACTTGTTGGTCCTGAAGTACTATATCTTAGTGCAATTGATGCACTAATGTATCTTGCTAACACTAAAAGGCGTGACATAACATTTTCAGTTAATGTCTTAATAAGATATAGCTTTGCTCCTACAAGGAGACATTGGAGTGAAATCAAACACATATTGTGTTATCTAAAAAGGACTACCAATGTGGGCTTATTTTATGGCAATGATTGCAATCCCGATCTTGTTGGTTATGCCGATGTAGAGTATTTATCTGACACACACAAGGCTTGATCTCAAACATGTTATGTGTTTACATGTGGAGGCACTGTCATATCTTGGCGATCGACTAAGCAATCAATCGTGGCTACTTCTTCTAATCATGCTGAGATAATTTCTATTCATGAAGCAAGTCGAGAATGTATTTGGTTGAGGTCTATAATATATCTTATCCGAGACAAATGTGGTTTGAAGTGTGACAAACTACCCATAATTTTGTATGAAGACAATGCAGCATGCATAGCCCAATTGAAGGGATGATTCATAAAAGGAGATAAGACAAAACACATTTTACCAAAGTTATTTTTCACACATAATCTTCAAAAGAATGGTGATATCAATGTGCAACAGATTCGTTCAAGTGATAATATGTTTGATTTGTTCACCAAATCTCTACTGACGTCAACCTTCAAGAAACTGGTGTACAAGATTGTGATGCGAAGGCTGAAGGATGTGAACTGATGCTCTCATCAAGGAGAGTTAATACGCGGTGTACTCTTTTTCCCTTACAAGGTTTTGTCCCACCGGGTTTTCCTTGCAAGGTTTTTAACGAGGCAACCAAAAGGCGTATTTCTAAATATGTGTACTCTTTTTCCTTCATTAGGATTTTTTTTCCCATAGGGTTTTTTCCTAATAAAGTTTTAATGAGGCACATTATTTATGGACATCCAAGGGGGAGTGTTATGATAAATATCATATTATGGTGGATGTCTACTCTTCCTCCATGATCTTCATGTCAAATGCTTAATGACATATTCAATGACATATTTTCTATATTCAATGACATATTTTCTTTACTTTTCATACCTATATAAAAGCCTTGTAATAGATAGGAAAATACACACAATTAAAGAAAAAAATCTGTTTCTTCTCTCTATCTCCATTTCTTGTTCATGTTTTACTAAATTGCTTTTATTTCCTTGTTCCATATTGCTACTTTGAGTTATATTTCATAACTGACAAATTATTTTTAGGAAGTATTGATGAGAAAATAATAAAAGTGGTCCCTTATATTTTAGAGTATGTTTGAAGTAGTCCTTAAATATACTCCTGGACCAGTTATGGTCTATTAAATTGGCCAAAAAAAAAAAGTGAGTACTTTTGATCTTCTTCATATATTTTTTAAAAAAAAAAACTTTTTTGTTAGATCTAGCGATAATTATGGAAAAAGTAAGATTAACAAAAATTCAAATTTAGAGGTGTAAATTTTTGTAGTTTCTGTTATTCTTGTTTTTTTAATCTATTTCTGTTGTTTAGTTTATTTTTTAAGGTGTATTTTTGCTATTTTTGTGAATTTCTTAGGTTAGTTTTTCGTGTTGGAGTTTCTGTTGTTCTTTTTTTTTTAATCTATTTCTGCTGTTTAGTTTATTTTTTAAGATGTATTTTTGCTATTGTTGCGAATTTCTTATGTTAGTTTTTCGTGTTGCAGTTTCTCAAAATTAACGGGATTTTTCTGATTTTTATGGTTAAATTTTTTTCCCTCATAGTTTCTATTAAATCTAAGGCTAGAGTTTGTTAAAAATTTAGGGGGGATCAAAGTACTCACTTTTGACAAATTTAAAGGACCAAAACAGTTTAGGAGTATATTCAGGGGACTATTGTGATATAGTTTGACTAAATACGAAATTTAAAAAAAAAACAAGTACTTTTGAAACTTGTAGTCATAAAAGTTTAAATTATAAAAAACTTTATGGGGTCATATTATTTGTGTGGTTATAAAGTTTTTCATTACAAATAAAATTAATAAAATAAAAAGTAAATATACCATTACTTTTGTAACGACTAAAAAAAGTTATGTCATCCAAATTGAAATGAAGAGAGTAGTACCAGTTTTTATTTTTTTTTTCAAAGTATTGAATATAAATAGAAATCAATTTTTATGAGCTTTGGACAATCAAACCACGCCCAAAAAGGTAATTTGGCTTTAATAGTGTTTGTTAAGGTTATCACTTGCCTGAAGGTATAGACAAAATACTGAATCTCTATAAACCTGAAAAGGAAAATAAAATAAAAAACAAATAATGGGGAAATACAGAAACAAGCAGGACTCGCAGGAGAAAGCTTCAATTCAGCTCACAATCTGAAGACAAATGTTGATATTTCTCTTTTCTAGTTTGATCTGTAAGTCAAATATGGCATCTTTTTTCATAATACTGTACTACCTCTATGCAAATGTAAGGGGAAAAAAAAAAAAGGAAACCTTTAATTGTGTTGTCTTTTTTAATAGCATATATTTTATAGACAAAATTAGCTAGAGATTTGATTTTGAGAACTGGGTTCTTGAATCTTGGCTGGTTATACATTTATTGACTGAACTGTGTTGAATATTTGATTTTGGGGAATTTGAGGTTTATTGACTTCGCATATAATTTTGTTTTTGCTCATTCATTTCCAATTTATAGTAATTTTTGCTAACTTAACATGTATTATAGAAATGATTATGCACACATAATAGGAACTTTAAAGAAAAAATTTAGTGGCATTGTATTAGGAGGTGCACTTTGGGGCCGACTAATTTGGATTCGCATTGTGAAGTGCATTTTGGAGGTAAAGGACTCCCTACGAAAGGCAATTTCACTCTTAGGGCTCGAATCTTTGGGGGTACTTACCCAGAGGCGAAGCCAGGAAATTTATAGGTTCTGAATTTGCTACAGAACCCAGAGCTCGTCTTAGTTACTGGGTTCATAATTAAATATTTATACATATTTAATAAATTTCCTAGTATAAATACAATGTTTAAGCAAAAATGACTGGGTTCGGCCGAACTCGTACACTACAGGCTAGCTCCGCCTCTATACTTACCCACCCACCACAACCGGAAACCTCTGTATTTGGTTTCCGGCATGTGACACTGTCTATCAACTTCAAATTGGCTATCAGTGGAAATGACCAATGTTCGAGTAAGATGTTCAATGAAAAAGGCACAATTCTATCTTTTATTTTTCTTAAGAAAATCATGTGTGACCAATTGACGTTTTCCTACCTTGCGAAACAAATTTTGAGTCCGGTTAGTAAAATGGAGCACAGTTCTTGTTTCCTAGATTGTTCACAAAATAAGGAATCATGAGAAGCTGCAATTTCAAGTTGATGATTTTCTTAAGAGACGAATGATAATGGATTGAGTACAGATTATGTGGTTGCTTGGTAACATTAGCTACCAAGCATTACACCCCCTTGGGGTGCGGCCCTTTCTCGGACCCTGCGTGAACGCGGGATACTTTGTGTACCGGGCTGCCCTTTTTTTGGTAACATTATTAGCTAAATTCTTAAACAGTCCATATTATCACTTTGGGCCATCTTGATTGATTTTTATTATTCAAATAAACAGTGTGCAAAAGTGAACTTCTTTACTCTCTTTCTTCTATGGTCAAAGAACTTTTTTATTGGAGATATTGTAGTTGAGCTCTAAATGGTGCTCGGAACAAGACGGCAACATGAAGGGTCACTTTCTGAAACTTTTTTCCCTGATAGGTATGATTAGAAAAACAATCAGCATCCCAGTTGCAGATCCATTTGGTTGCCCAAACAAGAACTGTTCTTTAGTCCTTAGCATTACCCTGTGTAGCCTTTGAGTAAGTTAACTTAAGAAAAGGAAAGATATCCATAAGAATAAACGAAATCAGTTTTATCTTTATTTTACATATGATAATAAAGGCATTAGAATTGTTTCCCATATTCATTTGTTCGAAATGAATCCGGTGGACCTTAGCTGCCGGTTGAGCAAGCAGTGGCAATGATTCTGAAATAAATACAGTTTTTATTATCATTTAACTTGTCATAGAAGTCCATAAAAGCAGCTCAAAAAGAAATTCACAGAAATTTACTTGTCCTGCCTAGGAACATATTACTTGTAATGTGTTATATTTATTGCCTATTAGATATTTGATGCTGTTTTCTGGATATTTTGAATTGTGAAATACCTCTGGGGTAATGGGCTTCAGCATTCAAATTAATCTTTTCAACCATTGAACTAAAATTGCCGACTGGCTGTACTTCTTCTTAAGTTTCTGGTGATGTCAAAGTAGTGTGCATCACGAAGTATTTAATTTTGAGAAATCTGGTGAAATATTACACATAACACCAGTTTGTACATAATGTACTTAATTCAATTTTTCCGAAGGATGATGATGAAGGTTGTTATATGTGTAACCTAAACCACGGTTGTTATGCTTTCGTTGGTGTCAATGTTTCCTGAAAGTGCTGTGTTTAAACTAATTAGCTTTGTTTATTTTAAGTTCAACTTATACCCGTCTAATTGTTTTCTCACACCATTAGTGATGATGAACATTTGGCCTACAAGAAAATGCATGAATTTTCCACAGTGGATGGCTTTGTAGAGATAACCGAATCCTTGGCCGACATGATAAAGTTCATTGCAAATGAGCCTGCGGCGGGGCTTATCTACATTCAACAGCATACCCAAAAAGCAGTGCCTAACCTTATTAATCTCAATAACAATGTTGAGGAGAAATCTCGTCAACTGACTTTGCACACGGCGGATTCAGAAGATTCTATCATCATTGTCAGGTCAATGAAAGAGTCTGGCTTTCCAATTGCTAATGAAATGATTAAAGATCTCAGACATTCTCTAGCTGTCATGTCCGCGAAGCAGCCCAAAAGAGGATTTATGAGTAGACCAAGTTCAAGTTTCCGGATAGGGAGAACTATCTCTTGGAATCCTGCTACTTGGGATCATAACACAGGTACAGAACAAGATGGTGAGAGGAATGCTGGTTATATTTCAAACGTTTTCAGGTCGGCAAAAGAAAAAGCTAGTAGCTTCAAGTGGCCTCAGTTGGAGTCGATAGAATCTGGTTCTAAAGCAGCCAAGAATGAAGCATCTTTGTCAGACAAAGATGAGCAACCTGTGGCCTGTTCTAATGATGCGCTCTCAAAGCCAGATGCCAGCTCTTGCTCGAGAGGACAAAGATGAAGAGTTTTCATTGTCAAGTCAAACTACCAATGAGCTACAACAAGTGCAGGTAAATAAAAGCATGTCCCTTGATCAAATTCTGTCTGTATCAGAAAATTAACAATGAGGAGTTTAGGTCGAAAGAGAAGAAAAACTTGAGGAGTGGTCGGGAGGACGGGCAATCATAATGCTGTTCCTGGAGAAGATAATTAGCAGTAAAGGGCTTTAGCTTGATATAGCTTTGAACCGGAAACAATTCTTTTTCTCTGGAAGGGACTTCATTCGTACCATATTTGACGAATCTTTGTACCAAAACAGGAAATGTAAAAGTGAGAGATTATCAGTGTTCGAAAGAGACGGGAAAAAGAAGCTTGAATCTACAATATATTCTAATTGTCTTTGTACCTTGAGGAGTCTAAAAGGGCAGCCCGGTGCACTAAGCCCCGCTATGTGCGGAGTTTGGAGAAGGACCGGACCACAAGGATCTATTGTACGCAGCCTTACCCTGCATTTCTGCACGAGATTGTACCTTGAGGAGTCTATCTTTGTAAATTGCTTTTAGTTTATTCTCCGGACCGTAGTTTGACTGTCAGCTTCATAGTTCAAACTGATAAGACAAACCTAAATCCACAAGCAGCTTATGCCATTAATCAAAGCTCTTACCCATGTAGTTTGCCTATTAATCTCAAGGGATTGGCCCAGTAGAGTCAAAGGTCAGGTGTAAATTGCTTGCTTATAGAACTTGGCATTTCCACACAAGTAGCTGCAATGTGTACAATTTTACACATTATATTTTCTTGAAGTATATGGAAGCAGTTCAATGATTAGGAATTCATTTTGCATGTGACCTCACTTGAACTTGCATCTGAGATAAACCACTAGAATTCCAATTTATATTGCATATTTTCCACTGCAATGAGCTGCAACTCCATCCAACTGAAGCCGCTAAAGGGTGATCTTTTAACTTGATTTATCAAGATTTATTATATATCGGCATCAAATAATTGGTGTAGCATGTGCAATGATATGGTTGTGGCGCGAATTACTCTTGTGCACCTACATCATTCAGTTGTGCAAGCCCGCCCCTCATGTTGTTGAAGAATTGAGCTTATTGCGCAGCTGGTTATTGGAAGCTAGCAGTTGGTTGTAGCATTTAATCCCACAACTAGAAAAGGATTGCTTCGGGGTAACTATGGTATGACTTAATGTCGAGTAGTCGCTGTAAGCACGTGATTTTTGCTTCACGAAAAAACTACTCCAAAAGAAATCGAAAATTAAAACAAATTTCCTTGGTGTACAATTTTTAGAATTTGCGTGGCATTTTTGGATAATTATTTGTGTTTTTATCTGTGAATGTTTATCCTGTTTTAATTAATTAAAATACAAAAACAAAAATATGTTGCATGCATATTTAGGATTTGATTGTGTATTTAGGAACTAATCGAACCATAATTTGGTTTTAAAAGAAGAAAATCACAAAAATATGCATTTAGTCTATTTTATGTCATTTAAAGTGTGTCATCGTGCGATTTTATTTTAATTAAATGTTTTAACTTGTGTGCTAATTGTTGTTAAGAGTTAATTAATATTTTGTAGTTTAATTTTGGTTTTACAATTTATTTTTAGAATTTTTGTTAATTATTAATTAAAAGAAGAAAATGAAAAGAGTTGAAAATATAAGGCAAATCGGATTTGGGCCAAAATTTTAGACCAAAAATAAGGCCCAAACATTCAAAAGACCCGGTCCATTTCAGCCAGTCCCTCAGAAGACTCGAACGACGTCGTTTCTGAGTCTCAAATCTGGGCCGTTGATTTGTTTCAAACAAACGGTCCAGTTCAGCCCCTGCATAATTGAAACGACGCCATTTTAGGTGATCAGATCTGAGCCGTTCATCTATCTTGATCCAACGGCCTTAAGGCCTCCTCTATACCAGACCTATTTTCACCCAAGGTCGGCCCAATTTCGTATAGAGACCAAACGGTGTCGTGCCATTAAATGAAACGATCCAGGCCGTCGATCGTGCTTGATCGAACGGCCAGTATCAAACAACCCCGCCCCTATATAAACTCAACCTCCTACCCCAGTCCCCCTAACCAAACACTCCCCCTCGGCTTCCTGTTCATCGTCTCAACTCAAAGACTGAACCAAACACCCCTCACCGAAACCCTAGCCGCCATGACACCCCACCACCTAAAACCTGGCGGCAACAATGTCGTCGGTCACCAAATCAACACCATAAGACCATCAGACCACCCTCGCTCCAAATATGTTAACCATCTGGCTCGAATCTTCGTGAAACTCCTCGAATCTTTATTTGAAGATTCGAGCCAAACATGAACCTACCCCAATCCACTCCAAATTCATACCAGGCAACCCAGACCTCCCTCATACCATAAATGACTTTAGTTCCGTTCAAATCTGCCTAGAAACGTTCGAACCCTAAATCGAAAACTAGGAACCCTAGAAATTCCAAATCATGGAATCCGTCCAAATTAAGTGAGGATTTGGGGTCTAATCGACCTTAATCGAAGTGTTCTCAGTTGAGAACACTTCGACTAAGGTCTGTTCGACCTCAAAGTGTCCGAGTTCGAGCTTGGGTCCGTATAGTTCTGATGTTCTGAGGTATTTTTCTTTTTCCCTTATTCTGTGTTCATGTTTTTTTTATCTGTGTATTTGTTTAGTTTAGTTTTGTTGATTGTTCCATTCTTTATCAATTCATCTTCTCATCCCCAGTGACCTTTTTATTTGGTCGATTTTCTGTTTGTTGATTAATTGTACCTGTTATAAACTACACATTCGATTTGATTAATGTCGTCGAATAATTAGTTTCATAAGTCCCCTGTTTTGTCCAAAGCCATGAATCACCCTGTTTGTATGTTTGATTCTGTTTGTTGTTACCAATTGTGTATGCATAATCGATTAATAAGTTGCGTCGATTAATTAGTTTCCTGTTAGTCCCTGTTTCTGTCAATACCACTGAAATTACCCGTGAATTGCCTGATTCTCTGTTTCTGATTGTTTAGTGTCAATTGTAATATGTAATCGATTAATTAAGCTTCGTTGATTAGGTCGTTCGTATAGTTTGAATCATTTGGCATTCTGTTGTTTATAGTTTTTCAATTGTTAGTTGTCTGATTAATTAAGATTCTGTTTGATTATAAGCATTGTTCTGAATCACTGAAACTCTTGTATTTGATGTATTTTTCTATCTTAAATTACTAGCTGAAATTGGTTTATAGCTGTATTAATTTAGGTGATCATCTGGGAATTAGTTTAGTCAATGCTTAGCTTTCCTCCTTAGGTGAGTTGGTACAGTTGATGGGTAGTAGTTTCAGGCGTAATTTAAGGAGTAATTTGGGAATGTGGGACCCTCAATAATTAATAGACAGGCTGCTAAGGGCACTTTGACTATCACAAAAAATTGTGATACTTTTTTGTTCAACACCAAGCTCCTTTAGCAACCCCTGAAGCCAAATTGTCTCTTTCACAACCTCTGTAATAGCCATGTACTCCGCTTCTGTTGTAGACAAAGCAATTGTTGACTGCAAAGTAGACTTCCAACTAACTGGTGCCTTTACAAAAGTAAACACATAACCAGTAGTTGATCTTCGTTTGTCCAGATCACCCGCAAAATCTGAGTCACAATACCCAACTACAGACTGATTGCCTTCCTGCTCAAAAACTAACCCAACATCTACAGTATTGTGAATATACCGCAGAATCCACTTCACAGCTTGCCAATGCTCCTTTCCTGGATTATGCATATATCTGCTAATAACTCCAACAGCTTGTGAAATGTCAGGTCTCGTACAGACCATTGCATACATAAAGCTACCAATAACATTTGCGTATGGTACCGGCTTAGTCTTCTCATCTATGCCAAAACGCTGCAGTACTCTCTTCAAATATTCTTTCTGAGATAATAGAGTTTCTTTGAACGTCTGTCTCTTATTATCTCCATGCCAAGAATTTTCTTTGCCTCACCCAGATCCTTCATCTCGAACTCCTTCTTCAGTTGAATCTTCAACTTATCAATTTCTTCCGAATTCTTGGAAGCTATCAACATATAGGATAAGATATATAAAGGAACCATCTTTAAGCTTGCGCAAATACACACAATGATCGTATTTGCTTCTCTTGTACCCTTGCCGCAACATAAACTCGTCAAATCGCTTGTACCATTGTCTAGAAGATTGTTTCAATCCGTACAACGATTTTTCAAGTTTGCACACCATATTTTCTTTTCCAGCAACTTTGAATCCTTCTGGCTGAGTCATGTAGATTTCCTCCTCCAAGTTTCCATGTAAAAACGCAGTTTTTACATCCATCTGAACTAGTTCCAAATCCAATTGTGCTACCAAAGCCAACATAATTCTAATGGAGGAATGTTTTACAACTGGAGAAAACACTTCATTGTAATCAATTCCCTCCTTTTGAGCATATCCTTTGGCCACCAATCTTGCTTTGTAGCGAACATCTACTTGGTTAGGAAATCCTTCCTTCTTTGCAAATACCCATTTGCACCCAATTGCTTTCTTTCCCTTCGGGAGATTGGCCAATCTCCATGTATGATTCTGATGAAGGGACTGTATTTCATCATTCATGGCAATCCTCCACTTATCTTCTTCTGAACTTTGGACTGCGTCTTTATAAGTGGTAGGAACATCATCAGCTACAATTGAGGCGGCACAAGCAACCGTCTCTATAAGACGAGCAGGTTTTGTTATTGTCATTTTTGGCCTGCTAGTCGCAATTGATTCAAGTTGTTGTTGATGTTCCTGAGTTGGAATCTCCCTCTCTACTGGCTCTTCTTCCAAAGGATAATCTTCATTTGTTTCCTCCTCTGCTTCTTGTGTAGGAAAAATAAATTTTCTTCAAACTCCCCCTGCTTAGAAGCACCCTCATTTTGTTTGGTATCTTCTGTTACCTTATTTACCATAGCAGATTCATCAAAGGTAACATCCCTGTTGAATATTACTTTCTTTGTCAAGGGACACCATAAGCGATATCCTTTGACTCCAAAAGTAATCCCCATAAAAATAACCTTCTTTGCCCTTGGATCCAATTTTGACTCTGTCACATGATAATATGCAGTTGAGCCAAACACGTGCAAAGAGTCATAATCTACAACAGGTTTTCCATACCATTTTTCAAATAATGTCTTGCCATCAATAGCAGCAGATGGTAAACGATTAATGAGGTGGAATGCATATGTAACTGCCTCAGCCCAAAATTCTTTGCCCAAGCTAGCATTGGACAACATACACCGTACCTTCTCCAGCAAGGTCCGGTTCATACGTTCTGCCACTCCATTCTGTTGTGGTGTATATCTGATAGTGAAGTGTCGGACGATGCCATCATTTTCACAGACCTTATTAAATTGATCATTTTTGTATTCACCTCCATTGTCTGTGCGAATACATTTGATCCTCCTGCCTGTTTGACTCTCCACCATCATTTTCTATTTGAGAAAAATTTCCAACACTTCAGCTTTGCTCTTCATTGTATACACCCACACTCTTCGGGAAAAATCATCAACAAAGGTTACAAAATAGTGCTTCCCACCCAATGAAGGTGTTTTGGAAGGACCCCAAACATCAAAGTGTACATAAACCAAAATACCTTTAGTATTATGGATTGTTGTACCAAATTTAACCCTTGTCTGTTTCCCTTTGACACAATGCTCGCAAAATTCCAAGTTGCAAGCCTTTACTCCTTTTAACAATCCTTGATCTGATAAAGTTTTCAAGGATTTACCTCCAGCATGTCCCAAGAGCATGTGCCATAGCCTGGTTGCTTCTGCCTCTTTTTCGTTACTGGATGTTACTGTCACTGTCCCAATAATTGTACTACCGTGATAACGGTACATGTTATTGTTCTTCCGATTGGCCTTCATTACCACTAGTGCACCGGAGCATACTCTTATCACTCCACTTTCTGCAATGATTTTGAACCCTTTTGATTCTAGGGCTCCCACAGAGATGAGATTCTTCTTCAAATCCGGTACATATTGAACATCTTTTAATGTTCTGATCATTCCATCATGGTTCCTTAATCATATTGAACCAATATGAGGTAAGAGGGTTGTTATCCGCTGTGTGGATGATTCCATATTCTCCTTCTTGAAAATCCACGAACCAGTCCCTGTTGGGACACATATGATAGCTACAAGTCGAGTCCATCAACCATATGTTTGATGATGTTGATGGCTCTGTTGTAATTAATGAGAAGTTCGAATCATCACAATCAGCTACATTTGAATCCATAATGGTCTTTCCATTGTTATGTTTGGCCTTATTCTTCAACTTCGGACAATCTTTCTTCCAGTGTCCCTTTTCTCGACAAAAGGCACATTCATCTTTGATGGGTCTAGATCTTGACTTGGATCTCCCCTTCTTTGTCGTCATTTGATTTTGAGGACGACCCTTCATAACCAGTGATTCTCCTTCTCCGCCCTTTTGTTTTTCTCCCTTTCTTTGTTCATAGCTGTATAAAGCTGAACAAACTTCTCTGAGAGAAATTTTGTCATTCCCATGGAGTAGAGTAGTTTCAAGGTGCTCGTACTCATCAGGAAGTGACCCCAACAACATCAAGGCCAAATCACCATCATCAAAAGTTGCATCTATATTTTGCAAATCTGTGACCAACTTATTGAAACTGGTGATATGTTCGTTCATTGTGGTACCAGGAACATAGGTGAAGCGAAACAGTCTCTTCTTCATGTACAATTTATTTTGACTGTTTTTCTTCAAAAATTTATCCTCCAGTGCTTTCCATAATTTACTTGCAGAAGTTTCCTTTGTGTATGGATATTTCTGCTCTTTAGCAAGGTAGGATCGAATGGTACCGCAAGCAACACGGTTGATAATTCTCCAATCTTCTTCTCCAATAACATCTGGTTTCTTTTCTTCAATGGCCAGATCTAGCCCTTGTTGAAAAAGGACATCTAGAACCTCGCCTTGCCACATCCCAAAATGTCCGGACCCGTCAAAAATTTCTACCGCAAATTTCGCATTTGACACAATTCTTGTCATAAGCGAAGATGCCAATGATGACGTATTGTTGACACTTGATGTAGATTCTTCTTGTTTATTGTCTCCCATCTTTGACACAAATATTATTTAATAGCTGACGACACAAATCAAGATTATTTTCTTTCTGGTGTGGAAGATCAGACTAAGCTGCAACCACTCAGCATACGCAGACAGAATCTTGACTCAGTTACCAAGATAAATCTTTTCTGATGTGGAAGATCAGACTATGCTGCAACCACAAAGCATACTTAGACAGTACCTTGGCTCTGATACCAATTATTGCGGAAGCCAAATGTATATAGTGTGTATGAGTCACAACTACTATATCAAATATTATGACAGCCACCAAATAATAAATAAAACAATAAAGGAACAATAAAAGGAACACCAGAATTTACGAGGTTTGGCCAATTTTGCCTACTTCCTCGGATACAACCAATATTTTATTCCACTCCAAAAATACAAGTGAAATAATACTAAAGAGAGAAGATACAAATGCCTTAAGAAGATAAGAAGACAAATGAGAAGTGTATTTAAATCCTAAACATTAGGCCTCCTTTTATAGGGAAAAATTACCAAACCCAAATTGTCACCCACCGATGTGGCACTTTTGACAATCAACATATCATACAATTTTTTTCTTCTTATGCTACTTCTTGACTTTCTCTTTTTAAGTTCAAAAAGAGTTTAATTTTACAATATCAAATTAAATTCCTTCGTTATAACAAGTAATTATCTTATTTCTAAGATTACAATTTACAAATCTCACTTTTTACGAGGGATACCAGTAGATATCTTTACGGTGATTTAGTAGTACAAAAATGACCTAATATTGTAAAAATATGGAATACATACATTTTATGGATCTATATTGCTTTCAGTGCACTAATTTCTTTTTCCCCTCACTCGGACAAGAGAGAGAGCTCCATAAGAAATTGGCACCTCACAATTCCAGAATTCCTATACTAACTTCCTAAAATTGATATATACAAAGGGATTACAAGGCCTTAGGTATAATTCAGTGGAGTCCTTGCTTCCACTGGTTTTAACCCACTGTTGAGATATGAAATATGTACAGAGCTTGAAGACAATGAGTAGGGAGCAAAGGAGTTGAGCTGAAGATAGCATCCTTAGCCGCTGCCAACCATTGTCACCTATAACTAGATCCCAATCACCTGCAAGCGACAACATCAAGGTCAAAAATCTGTAAGTTTTTCGCACTGGCATAAATCTGGGTTCTTTTAATGCTAATTTGCTATGACAAGAACTAAGAATAGTATAATTGTCGAATATAAATGCTCAACTACTATAAGATTTTAATGAGCAAAGAGAAAAGATGGCATAAAGATAATTACCATAGAAGAGCCAAGCAATGCAAAGTTTCTACTCCCACAACATCCATGTGTGATTTTTTTACCAACAACCAGAATTTGCGCTGGGACATGTAGCTGTGGTATCTTGATAAGTATTTGATGCATGGATAGAACTACTACCATTAGCCAATATTATTCCTCCAACACTAGGATTCGGAGGGGTAGAACCAGTGACACCAACCCCAGACTTATCACCAATGCTTGAATTTGGAAGCACAGATCCATGACCACTACCCGGTGGTTTAGACCCAATGTTGTCATTTACGAGAATATGCGAACTTGGAGGAAGTGCAGATCCCTTATCGCAAGCTGGTAGAGACGCCAAGTTCTTATTTTCCAGAGGCATAGAGCTAAAGCTGCTGCCGACTACATTAGTTCTGATATCCCCAGCAGATAAAGTGGTTCCACTGCTTCTGCCAACTATTTTAGCCTTTCTGAGAAACAAGTTTAAAAGGGGATCCATGAAAAAACTGATATTTCAGTCTGAAAAAGAAAAGGAAAGGATGTACTAGAGGAAAGAAATAGGAAAGAGGAAGCTAAAGAGAGAGGAAACGACTCATACCTGATTATNTTCTTGGATAACAGGGTATAAACATGAAGCTCTTGCTGGTTATTAAAATGGGACTGAAGCTGCTGAAAAAGTGACTTATTAGAATGATGTTGCTCAGTCCTCGTCACATCATGATTTGTCTTTTGTGATCCATTAAAAGTCACCCTCAAAATTGCTGCTGACTTAACATCAGAATGCTTTCCAGCAAAAATTACAGAAAAGCTGCCAAATTCCAAGTCTGGTTCCCTAAATAAATCCTCAAGAAGAGAAGCATAAGAATAAGCATTCTTTGATGGTTTTTTCTCAACCTTCAAATGTGATGTTCTAACACTAGCGTGGTGGGCCATGTTTGCAGCTTCTCTAAGCCCAGTAAGAAATGCTCCATGCATAGTGGCTGGATAGCGCCTAGTAGTGGCCTCACCAGCAAAGAAAAGCCTTCCTTCCCCCACAGTTTCTGCTAAAATGTCATAGTCATCTCCTGATGCCCCCACTGCAACATTTGAGTAGGAACCGAAGCTGAACGGATCACTACCCCATCTTGTACAGACAGTTTGGATGGGCTCTGGGACTTCAATTCCTTGTGGTTCATATATACCTGATCATAATGCCCAAAATCTCATTACTACAGTAGCTCCATGACTATAAGAAACATTGATACCACGCATCATGAACCAGAAACTTTGAAGAGGGCACTAAGTTTTGTCTTTACTAAATTGATCCATATTCAAATATGTATGCCTATTCAGCAGCAAAATAAAATGGCAGGCGATGAAATCAACTCTCAAGTATAGAGTTGAGATGCGACTTTAAGAGGTAAAACTAAAAGATTTCTCTCTTTTTCCAATATGTTTCTCTAGTGTTCCCCTGTTTTAGGGAGAGACTGGAAGCTTAACAAAGCAACATTACCATGTAGGGGTTATCTATTTTCTTTTCTACTTTAAATACTATAAGCTCTTTCTTTTTTGTTGATAGGTAAACAAAGGCTAGTTCTTAAAGCAGTATACACATAAACACCCTTTGTCAAAATTCCATTATCTACTTCTCCTTGAAGTTGTCATCTCGAACCGAGAAAATTTTTTCCAAAATTTTCATTACTCTATAATATCATATAACCAAATATTTAAAACAAGAAGACGTCTTTATTATACTACTGATACAAGTAGAGATTACAGCTATCTATGCAGGTGCTTATATTCCAGAGCTTCTCACGTCTCAATCAAGACGATAGATAAATGCTTCAAAATGAAACTCACTGAATATGAAATGGTCATGGCACAATACTCTTTCAATAGCTTAACTCTAGGCCAAGATGAATCCACTCCTAAAGAAATTATTTCTTATTTTTCTGCTCACTACCTTAAGAAAAAGAGAAGAAGAATAAGACTTTGGTATATAGAAAGCAAAGTTACCATGGAACATGGCTTTTACCTCTTAAAATATGAAGAACTTTCGTCACTGCATCAGTAGGGGGCATGATCTCAAACTTGTGTGCAGCTTCTCCAGCGACTAAAGCTAACAATAAGGGGCCACCAGCAACTGTTGCGTAGCTAAAAAACAGAAAGAATTCTCCCCGACTACTAGAATCATCAACAACATGACCAAACATATCAACATTGGTGTCCCAAAACACACATGGGAAAAGCATTGCAACCTTATTTAACAATCCAAACCCCAATCTTTTTATTGCATCCAACTTCCGTTGAGGCAACTCTGGGATGAACTTGATAGAACCACTCTTCAAAACTCCAAGAGGAACAGTGCACAATGCCATATCTCCCTCAAATACTTGCCCCCCAGCAACAACTTGCACACCTTCACTACCATAACGAATGGAATGCACAGTTTTTCCAAAAATAATAGGCACATTTTCAGCCAGTGCCTGAATTAATCTTCCATTTCCACCGGGCAAAAAGCAGTGATCCCCTCCCATATCATAGATGTCATCTTGGTCCCAAAATGCCAAGGAAAGATTAGAAAGCAAACCTGCATTTGCATATTCCAGATTTGCCAGATGCCAGTTAAACAAGCTCATCTCCTCATCATTCACCGCATCACCCAAAACCTCTCGGAAAGTCTCCAATGCCGCTCCAAGAGAAACATCCTGAGAAACCTCTTGCCTGAACTTGCTTGCCTTATCCAAAAGCCTGTTATAAGCAGCCTCAACCTTTTGATCCATATCCTTGTCTACTGGCTTTCCATCAGCACGATAGAGCGGACATTCACCTCTCACCTTATGAAGCGTATACGATAACTGTCGCGCCAAGATACCAAGCGGATTCCCTAGAGTACCTGTCAAAACACTCCCTCCTAAATCAGCAGCTGCCACCTTATTCCCTCCTTCCATCTTTTTCGTATACACCCTTCCGCCTGCACGCTTTCTTCCCTCCAAAACAATAACCTTAAAGCCCAAAGACATCAGCTGCCTCGCAGCTGTCAACCCAGCAAGTCCTGCCCCGACAATAATCACTCTACCCTTACTTGGCTCAGCTAAAATCCTCTCCTTAATGGCCGGCGCAACCCCAAAATTAACATACCCACGTGATACCAAATAGTTATAAGCAGAATCCAATAACCCATAAAAATGTTTAGGTATAACATCAAAAAACATATCTTTTGTCACCCAATGCGACACATTTTCACGCCATTTTGTAATAATATGATTTCTGATTAAAATGTAATTAAGCTGTTCTATCCCACCAACTACAGAAACAACCCCAGCTTCAATTTCATCATCAGTTAACACGTCAGCTGGAAAACCAGCAGATAATGCAATTAAGGCCTCAGAAGTTGAATCTTTGTTTATGCTAATAATCTCATCAGAAACAACTTGTGTTCTTGCACTTGAGCTACTACCAACATCAGAATTAAGGTTTTTATTCAAAAAATTGGAACTCTTTGTTCTTTTCTTCCTGGGGGTAGAGAAGGGAAGAGAATGATTTGTGATTGAATCGGAATTGGGATTAGGGTTTGGAATAGAATTGAAATTGGGAGCAGAATTGGGGTTAGAGTTTGAGTTAGGATAATGAATTGGGAATTGGAGGGGATTGTTATTAGTAATATAAGGGGAAGTATGATGAGAATTTTGCTGATCCATTACCGTTGTGTTTTCTGCAACTGTATCAGAGCAGCGAGAGAAAGAAGAAGGGCTCTGAGAATCTGAAGAAAGGGTGATCCGATTTCTATATTCGGGTCAGGCAAGCCGGGTTCGGGTTTGTGGATTTTTGGTCCTAACCAAATGAAGAATAAAGAAAAAATGGCTCTCCTGGGGCTATTGATTTGAAATATTGATGTATTTTGGTTCTTGACAACCAAGCAAAGAAGGTGAAAAAAACCAAAGGAGAAAAGACAATTTAATATTGACAATTTTAAATTAAATAATGAGATTATTGTAAGAGTAAAATTGACTATACACAAGAATAATACATGTGCAGTATATCTCTGAATTTTTTGTGTCTGAAGTCTGTTTACAACTTCTAATAATACCCTCATTTATTTCCTTTCAACATTCCCCAAAATTTTATATGTATATAACTATTTACATTAACCACTTAACTTGACAAGTTGAAACTTTATTTTTGCTTTCTAGATGATATATTAAACATAAACAGATAATACTGTAAGAAATAATCAAAATGATAAGAAGATTGAATATTTTTTACCGTGAAACCTAACTTAATGAACTGAGACAAGATAAAATAAGTATAAATAAAATAAAAATGAAGCGGAACTATCTTCTTTATTTACGTACAAGCCAAGGGCGGCCATACCCTAAAACAAGTGAAGCATTTGTTTTACAACTTGTTTGGATGGTTGTTACATATTGTATTTGTATCGTATTGTTACGTTAAATACGATGTTTGTTTTGATTGTTACTTAAATTTTATTGTATCGTATCATTAAATTCGTTTTTGCGTAACGATGAAATGTGTCACTTTATGTAACGACCGATTTGGTGTGATCATGTCATTACTTTTTTCTTTTTCTCTTATCTCACCCTTTATTATTATTAAATAATTTTATTTTATTATTTAGACTAACTTTTTATATAATAATTTTACCCTGTATCATAATTTTTCTTTATAAATATTACAAGTTTATTCCTTCATATTGTTAGTGTGTAATATCATGAAACAACGACAAACGATACAATCTATCCAAACATTATATTCATTAATTGTGACGACCCAAATGGTCATCACTTGCTTTCAGATGATTTCTGTGTCTTCGAGGCCTTGAAAACCTCATTAGAGTCACCTCGAATTGCGTGCGCAGTCCGGGCACGTAGCCGGAAAGCTTAAATATGAAACTCTGTAAAAAAATGCTAAGTTTTGATGTTAAAAGGAATAATCTTGACTTCGGTCAACATTTTGGGTAAACGGACCCGGATCCGTGATCCAACGGTCCCAGAGGGACCGTAGGAAAATATGGGACTTGGCGTATGCTCGGAATCGAATTCCGAGGTCCCAAGCCCGAGAAATGAATTTTTAAGTGAAATTGTTTTCAGATATTGATTAAGGAAATTTGAAATGAAAACTGATTAGAAAGCAATGGTATCGGGATTTTGGTTCCGGCACCCGGTACAGGTCTTATATTGACTTTAGTCATTCCTGTGAAATTTGGTTAATAACGGACGTCGTTTGACGCGATCCGAACCTTAATTGAGAAATTTGATGTTTAAAAGAGTTTTGAGAAATTTCATTGATCTCGAAGTTTAATTCGATGTTCGTGATGTTATTTTGGTAATTTGATTACACGAATATGTCTGTAGGATGTTTTTGAGGTTGTGTGTATACTTGGGTTGGAGTTTCGAGGGCTCGGGTGAGTTTCGAGTAGGTTCAGGGATGCCTTAGGCTTAAAAAGTCAGGTGTTGCAGGTTCAGGAAGCCACAGTCTCTGAACCCTCTAGTGCTGTCCGCGAGAAATCGCGTGCGATCGCGGAGGGGCCAGCGCGGCCGCGGTCACCTTTGTGCGGTCCGCGGTGGAAGCTGTGCCGCCACAGTCGCCTTTGTGCGGTCCGCACATGGTGCTGAACTGTAGGTCTTTAGCGAGGGGCCAGCGCAACCGCGGTCACCTTTATGCGGTTCGTAGTGGAGGCTGTGCGGCCGCAGCCCATTTAATGCGGTCCGTACTGGGGGTCTGAGAGGGGTATAAATAAACGGGAATTTCAGCTATTTTTCACTTTTCAAAACCCAAAAAACATAAGAAGTGATTTTTCAAACAACCTTTCTTCTCCAAAACGTTGGTAAGTGATTTCTAACTCATTTTCTTCACTCCTTAACATCTTTTAACATGATTTCAACTTCAAATCAAAGATTTTCATGGGGAAAATTGGGTGTTTTGGGTAGAACCTAGGTTTTTCTAAAATTGGGGATTTGGACCTCAATTTGATGTCCGATTTCAAAACAAATTATAAATTTGGATTCGTGGGGGAATGGGTAATCGGGCTTGGTCCGGACCTCGGGGTTCGACCACGTGGGCCCGGGGATGATTTTGACTTTTTGGGTAAAACTTTGGAAAATCTATTTTCATGCATTGGGGTTAATTCATTTAGCACTTATTGATGTAATTAAGTAACTTGTGATTAGATTTGAGCGGATTGGTGGTGGAATCGAGGAGTAAAGCTATAATTGAGACTTGAGTGGTGTTCAAGGCATCGAGGTAAATGTTTGGTCTAACTCTAGCTTGAGGGATTAGGAGTTGAGTCATATTTGCTACTTGCTTCTTGTTGAGTATGACGTATAGGCATGGTGACGAGTATCTATGCATTAGTGTCAAGCATGACCGTGGGTCTTAAATTGAAAGTTGTTGTGTTCTTGAATGACACCTTGTATGCTTTAATTAATGATCTTCTATGATTGTGCATTTCCATTAACTGAACTAAGTACCACCTAAGTGAGATTGGTTATAGCTGCTTCTCCCTTGCCGGGATGACTATTTCGATATAGTTGTTCCCTTGTCGGGAAGTTATTATATTACTTATGTTCCTTTGCCGGGATTTCTTGTGATTGTGTGATGAACTGTAAAAGGGAGCGGGTGGTACGCCTACCACAAGATATTATGAAATGGGAGCGGGTGGTACGTCTACCACAAGATATTATGAAATGGGAGCGGGTGGTACGTCTACCACAAGATATTATGAAAGGAGAGCGAGTGGTACGTCTACCACAAGATATTATGAAATGGGAGCGNGGTACGCCTACCACAAGATATTATGAAATGGGAGCGGGTGGTACGCCTACCACAAGATATTATGAAATGGGAGCGGGTGGTACGCCTACCACAAGATATTATGAAATGGGAGCGGGTGGTACGCCTACCACAAGATATTATGAAATGGGAGCGGGTGGTACGCCTACCACAAGATATGAGAAATGTGATCGGGTTGCACGCCTGCAACAAGATGGAAACTAAAAGTGAAAGTTGTCTTTACTTCTCTTTATCTGCGTTAGAAGATATATTGTTAGCTTCCTTGTTATATCTTGTTATTTTGTTTTGTCAGCTACCCCCGAAGCATGTTCCCCTTCCCCAACTTTAATTGCTTATTACTTGTTACTTTTCTGCCATATGTTATATAACTGCACGGGTTTATCTGGAGTCTGGTCCTAGCCTCGTCACTACCTTGCCGGGGTTAGGCCAGACACTTACTAGCACATGGGGTCAATTGTGCTGATACTATACTCTGCACTATGTGCAGATCCCGGAGCAGCTTTCGGAGAGTAGTTGGAGGGCTTCCTTCAGTCCACTCGGAGACCCAAGGTAGACCTGCATGCGTCCGTAGGCCTTGGCGTCTCCCTCTATCTTTATTTCCTGTTTCATTTTTCATACTTCAGAAACAATATACTGTTATTTTTTTCAGACCTTGTACGTAGTAACTCTTAGACAGTTTGTGACACTGTGACACTAGATTTTGGGGTATTGAGGTTTTTAAAGTTGTAATAGACATAGCCTTAAGCTATATAATTGTTGACTTCCACTTATTTACTTAAAATTCCGTTGTTATCATGTTATCGCCTCGTGTTTGTTAAAATGAAGCAATATGAAAGTGCAGTAGGTAGTTAAGGTATGGTTTGCCTAGCTCTCATTAGTAGGCGCCATCACGACTCCCGAAGGTGGAAAATCCGGGTCGTGAACAAGTTGGTATCAGAGCACTAGGTTACATGGGTCTCACAATTCACAGACAAACTTAGTAGAGTCTGAGGGATCGATACGGAGACGTCTGTATTTATCTCTCAGAGGCTACAGAGTTAGGAAAACTTCACATTTGTTCTTTCTTGTCGTGCGGTTCTATTTCCCCAATACTGATTGAATTTCTACTCCGTTCTTTCATAGATGGCGAGAACACGAGCTTCCTCATCTACCGCTCAGCAGACCGAGCCCCCAGCAATAGCTTCCATTAGGGGCAGAGGGCGAGGGCGAGTAGGGGCAGAGTTCAGCCCCAAGCAGCAGCACCAGTGGCGGAGCCTTAAGTTGATTTTGAGGAAGAGGTTCCGACCCTAGCAGTTCTGGTGAGCCCAGCTCAGGTCCTAAAGGGGTTTATTGCTACCTTAGTTCTTCAGGACGCTCTGGTCCGATTGTTGGTCCTCATGGAGAGTGTCACCCGAGCATGCTTCCTGTAGCACCAGCCACTTCTCAGGCTGGAGGAGGGGCCCAGACTCCTGCTACTCGCACCCCAGAGCAGGTAGCTCCTCAGATTCAGACTCCAGCGGTTCAACCAATTGGAGCAGTACAGCTGGGTGTGGTAGCTCAGACCGGTGATGGAGCGGCTATGTCCGCCGATGCTTTGTGGAGACTGGATAGGTTCACCAAGCTCTTTACTGCTACTTTCAGCGGCGCATCTACTGAGGATCCCTAGGATTATCTAGACAGCTGCCATGAGGTTCTCAGGAACATGGGCATTGTTGAGACCAATGGGGTCGATTTTGCTACATTTTGCTTGTCTGGATCCGCCAAGACTTGGTGGAGAGATTATTGCTTAGCTAGACCAGCCGGGTCGCCATCTTTGACTTGGGAGCAGTTTGCAGTATTGTTTCTGGAGAAGTTTCTCCCCGTGACTTAGAGAGAGGCCTATCGGAGGCAGTTTGAGCGCCTCCAGCAGGGTTCCATGATTGTCACCCAGTATGAGACCAGGTTCATCGACTTAGCTCGCCATGCTCTTGTCATACTTCCTACCGAGAGAGAGAGGGTGAGGAGGTTTATCGACGGTCTTATTCAGCCGATTCATCTTCAGATGGCCAAGGAGGCCGGGAGTGGGATCACTTTTC